GTCCAAGATTAACCTTCAGGGTGGATATAGCTCGCTCACACCGATGACCTATCCACATCATTATTTACCCAGAATGCTTTGCGTGTAAATAAAATGGCCCCGTCCGTGTAATATATTTTTAAATTTTTAGTTCAAAAATGATAAAAACTGAACATCCTACAGTATTTTTACAGTCTTTATTTCACAGTTAAAATATATGTTTATTAAATAAAGTCTAATGTTACAACTAATCATGGATCCCTTTAAAGATGTTTCTAGTGAGCCCTTGCAGTGATACTGCTGGATCCACCTTCTCCCAAGACATGACTCTCTGAAACTGTGGGAAAAAACCTGAGTTGTGTCAGTAGAGTGGGAAGTTGTGGAAATCTGAAGTGCAAAAGGGTCCTGTGTGGGAGGGACCCTGTTCTTTTGAGCAACATAAAAGTGAAGGAGGATGGTGTCATCACGATGGTGTGCCTGTGGCTAGGGAAGGTGATCACAATGATCTCTTCATGGGACAGAAGATCGCCATCTCCCACGTCAAAACAGTGAAGGTGATTTTGGGCCACAGTTGCAGTCAACAACATTCACAAAGATAAAGCATCAAGAAGAGAATATTGTGGACGTCACCATCATCAGAGGGTTGGAGTCTGATTCGCCAATGGTAGTAGTAGCAGATCATTTCTGTACCACCAGAGATATTGCACATCCAATTGTGGCAATCAATTTCTGAGACAATTCTGGTCTTATGTGATATCCTACATCACCCTTTGATCCAGTGTAACAGCTTTCAAGATGGCAGCCATGTTCTGGTCAAAGCCTAAAAGATAGGTCCCCTCACCCATTACTTGCTGAAGTATTCAGATATTTTGTTTTCTCTTTTCGTTAGCCTCATAACGTAATTGCCCAAGACGTATTTGGTCACAAATGCAACGCAAAAAGGCTAACGTTTTGTTTTTGAAATAAAAGGGTGTCCTGCGACTTTTGACTCCCCCTTTGCTATTTGTTATATTGTGTTCGTCTTTGTGTTTTGGTAGGACGATGCTGAAGGGCTGTACTGCCAGGAGCAGATCAACAGGTCGGACTGAAATCACACCAATAAAAATTTATATTCAATTTAACCTTCTCAACTAATTTCCTTTTATTAACTGGTTRTTTTAGATCGATTTACTGGGCCGACGGGTACGTGCTGGTTTTCTCCATCACAGACAACAGCAGCTACCGAACTATCCAGCCTCTATACCAGCACATCCGACGTATACACCCCGCTGGAAACATACCCGTTATATTGGTTGGTATTGATGTACAGTCATCATGGAAACACATCATTATAAAAATAAAATTTGTAGACAAACATAATACAGCCTGGTGTGCATCTAGTACTACTTACCTGGTACATACCTGGGTCATACCAGCATACTAAGTGTGTACAGGATACTTATAGGGTTTTACTGGTTATCTATCAAAACGGGCTGTGTAATGCAGAGGTTTGTTAACTGAAATGTACTACTACTTATTGAGCACATCCTGGGTAAGTATCTGGTACTTATTAGTACTTACTGAGCACATGTTGGGTATTTAACTGGTACTTACTGGTTATTTACAAATAACAGGCTGGGCACATACCTGGTACTTATTAGGTGCTTAGAGAGCACATACTGAGTATCTCATACTTACATGGTACATATTAATGCCTTGTTAGGGCTTAGGACTTTGTTATGCAGTGACTTCTTCTAACTTCTAATTACTGGGAAAGTATAAATGACTTGTTAACCTACATGTATATACCAGGTAAATACCAGGTACACACTGTGCTGTATTACATAAGGCTGAAAAAAAGTTGTACCTTGATGTAATATTCTGATATTCCATTGCATTCTTTTGAAKTATTGTTATTGCTTGAGTGGTTTAATCCCAACAATATTTTCTTTTTTTCACTTCATTCAAATATTAGCACACAAGTTATTTTCTTCACTCCTGAGAAGACAAGAAAGTGACTAACCCTAATCCATTAAGCTAAACTACGTTATAATCTGTAATCCGCTGCAGGTCGGCAACAAGAGTGACCTGCTTCGAGCCCGGCAAGTGCCAGTGGATGAGGGTGAGACGTTAGCTGCATCGCTAGGTGGGGCACCCTTCCATTGTTGTGCAAATGATATTTTTGGTCTTTTTCTTTGGTCATCAACACAAACACATTATTGTAGCTCCAAGTGAAGGTTTGCCTAACCTTAATTAAGCTTTAATGCACAACAAGGCACAAAAGAAGATAAAGTCAAAGCTGGATGTCCAAATAAAAGACAAAAAGCAAAAGAAAGTGACATACTGGTGTTACACAGTTGGACTCAAAAAGGGTCAAACATTAGTCCCATCCTTAGCATCTGTCCCACCCTTCTTTTAATATTCTCGTACATACCATATTAGCTGTTTAGAATCACTTTACGGTCATGTAAAATACAACTTATATAAGAAATTTGACAAGTTTAGTGGCTTAAACGTTCATGTAACAATGACAATATTCAAACAGCACGACTGTTGTGGGTCAACATTTTTGAAATCTCTAATATCTGGTGAAAAATCTCAAACTACTTGTGCGAGCATTCACGGTCCACAGAAGATAATGACCCACTCACATACTGTCTTGATGCTGATGTGAAACTTGATCCCAAAATTTCATTTAGTCTAGACAAGAGAACACAACAGGCAGTTTCTAACTGGATGGGACAGATGCTGAACACACAAACAACCTTAAAGTAAAATTCAGCAATCKACACACTGATTCACTCATACAATGGTAAAATATTTACATTGCGTGACTTAATTGCCCTGGATTGTGGCCTTGATTCTTTCCCTGTGTATTTAAACTATATCCTGCGTGTTACCCCATGAGAGAGGAATGCCGAGTGTTATCAGCAGTTTGAGAAAAGTCCTGGTCTGAAAGTCTGCTTCTGATCACAGGAGGGGTTTACTTTGAGGTCTCAGCCAGAGAGAACCACGAGGGAGTCCACGCCGCCTTCCTCCATCTCTGTCAGGAGGTGGGACCTTTTCTCTTTACTTTGTTGCTCAGAMACGTTTGATTGATGAGTGCTGGAGCTGTTAAATTCAGTTAACTTTATGGAACCAGGTTATTTTGAGTCAGGGACTCAGCTCTATGGTGTATTCGATGAGTTAACATGGAGCAGGGACTTGGACTTGTCCGAATCCAAAGCATTTCCGATGAGCTATTAATCCTGAATAGGGACCCAACTTCATAGCATTCATGTAAATTGCTCAGGGGCCACAGTTTCTTAAAACCAACGGTACAGGGGCTGGACATCGGGGTAGGGTGTCACTCAGTAATGGTAGGGGAAACACTGCAATTGATATGTAGAACAAGTATCATTACATGTGAAGTTGTTTGGTTTGTCCTTAAATTACACAAATTTTCCACCATTTTGCAGTTATAAAGATTTATCCACCTTATTATAACAGCGTCAAATGGTTTATTTTATTTTTTTGTGCGAAACTTCCATTCAGGTAGCTAGAGATGGGTACTAGCTACTCGTCATGACCTAGAAATTAAAAGCTGGGTGAGGAAAATGGATGAATAAATGTATATTTAAAGTAGAAAATAAACACTATTTGTCTTCTGTCCACCAGGTGATCCGAGCGTTAGGAGGGGGTAACGGGGAGAAACGAAAAGGAGGACTCCACCTGGCCAGACCCAAATCTCCCAACATGCAGGAGCTGAAGAGGAGGTTCAGGCAGGTCCTGTCCTCCAAAGTCAAATCGGCCACAACGATCTGATTTGAGAGTGGAAAATAAAACTGTGGAAGTATCAAAGGCCTCTCGGGGAAATGACAAATGCTGTAAGAGGAATCTGAAAGGGAGAGGTGATGAAGAGTTGTGACCTCTGGCTTCGTGGTCTGGAGTCACAGCCAAGGGCTCTGTCACAATCAGAGATCACCACGAGTTCATGCTGGAGATGGAKGAGAACAAATGAAGGCAGAGACTCATCTGAGATTCTGCACTGAACGTTGGAGTCTAGCAATCTCCAAGAGGATACGCCAAAAACTGACTCTTGGCATATTTTTTTTCCACAAAAAATCGTGAATAGGATATGAAAAATACTGACTATTTAAATAAAATGTACTAAAAACTACTAAATCTTTGATGGCTTTATCCACAAACATTTACAATCTCATGTTCCTCATTGCATTTCTTAACAAGTCCATACTGATCTTCCCCAATATCTGTTTTCAGGTGTCTAGGTTCCCCGGCAACTATGTTCCCCATAGGTTCCCCTGTAATTATGTTCCCCGGTAATTATGTTCCCCGGTAATTATGTTACCTGGTACGTTCCCCAGTATGTGTTCCCCAGTAAATATGTTCCCCGGTACCTATTTTCAACAGTAAATATGTTCCCCAGTGCCTATGTTCCCCAATACTAATGTTCCCAATTCCCCAGTACTTAAGTTCCCCAGTACCCATGTTCCACAGTAAATATGTTTCCCTGTACCTGTGTTCCCAGTTCCCCAGTATCTATGTTCCCCAGTACCCATGTTCCCCAGTATATGTTTCCCAGTACCTATGTTCCCAGTTCCCCAGTACCTATGTTCCCCAGTAAATATGTTCCCCAGTAAATATGTTCCCCAGTACCTATGCTCCTCAGTTCCTATGTGTTCCCCAGTACCTATGTTCCTCAGTTCCTATGTATTCCCCAGTACCTATGTTCCTCAGTTCCTATGTATTCCCCAGTACCTATGTTCCCAGTTCCCCAATACTATGTTGCCAGTTCCCCAGTACCTATGTTCCCCAGTAAATATGTTCCCCAGTACCCATGTTCCCCAGTATATGTTTCCCAGTACCTATGTTCCCAGTTCCCCAGTACCTATGTACACCAGTAAATATGTTCCCCACTATGTTCCCTAGTAAATATGTCCCCCAGCACCTATGTTCCCAATTCCCCAGTACCTATGTTCCCCAGTAAATATGTTCCCCAGTACCCATGTTCCCCAGTATATGTTCCCCACTATGTTCCCCAGTAAATATGTTCCCCAGTACCCATGTTCCCCAGTATATGTTCCCCACTATGTTCCCCAGTAAATATGTTTCCCAGTACCCATGTTCTCCAGTATATGTTCCCCACTATGTTCCCCAGTAAATATGTTTCCCAGTACCCATGTTCCCAATTCCCCAGTACCTTTGTTTCTCAGTACCCAAGTCCCCCTGGCCTATGTTTCCTGGTAACTATGTTCTTCCAGGTTTAACAGTGACAGTCATGAAAATGCTTGGCTTCCCCTTTAAACATCTTTTGAAACTAATAAAAAGGACACAAACTTACAGTGCAGGCATTGTACAGGGAAACAGAGGGATTACCCCTTTTCTTTAGCTGTTCATGCTTTTCATGTGATTTTTAGGATACATCTTTTTTATACAATATACATCAATCCAGATGAAAATAATTACGTTTAACTTTTTCTAAATAAAAAATAAATAAATAAAATAAAAAAAATAAGATGTGCCTTTTTCCTTTCTGTTGCAACAATTTAAACAAAAACAGGAAATGACCCTCAAACTGCCAGTGCTCAAGGTTCCACTCTGAGACAAACACTGACATTTGACCACAGGAAGGAAATTATTTCGGTCAAACCAGTTTAAGCACAAAGTCCAAGTATTTGTAGAGTCCTTCTGCTAAGACATTTTTGAATTGTTATTTTGCAGCAGGTTTAGGAAAGAAATAATAAAAATGTTTAAAAAGCAGCACAAAGGCTTTAATTTCAAATCAAACTTTCAAATTTTGATAAAGTGTTCACCTTGATAGCATCATAGATAACTACTAAAATGTGTTTGTACAGCTATTCAAACTTTTTCCTTTAACCTCTGCCAGGATAAACATTTTAGAGACAAGTAAGCTGGTCCATACACTTCTAATATATTCTAACCTTTTATTTGGGAATTTTGAATTGAAGTCAGAAACTACAACATTTCTGATTGTTGCTTGTAAAAATAAAATAAGGAAAAATCAGATTTCAGGGACACGGTGTTGAGCTTCAGTAAGTGAGTTCATTATTTAATTTTTGGTTTGGGCTTCAGACTCCAGCAGTGTTGAGTTGTTGGATTTAACCCTATAAAATACAGTTTTCTGTCTGTCAGCAGGCAGGAACTGGTGAAAGAACACAAAAGGAGGCTGGAATGTGAATGTGTTTGTAGTATTTGTGCGTGCGCTTGTGTGTGTTTTCCACTTTTCTCATGACCCCTCCGCTCGTCGAAACACACAAAACTCTCAGTTAAAGACAAATTCCTCAGCATCTGGAATTTCTTTGTGGGTCACTGAACCACCATTCAAACACACTGGCGCTCTACACACACGGAAAACACACACATTGAAAAATTGTGTGCTGACCCCGGCTCGTGACCTTTTGCCCTTTGACCCTTTAAAGCAGCAGGGCTCAGCCACAGAGAGAGAGAGAGAGAGAGAGAGAGAGAATAAAATAAGGTGAAGCCCATTTTGACCAAGCGTTGAACAAAATGTGCAGCTCATCCAACATTATGATACGTAATCTGTTAGTGTTTGAGCATGTGTTGTAAATAACTCAGCTACACCAAACATCAGCTCAGTGTGTCTAAGAATCACTGAGTTATTGTCATTTTTGTGAAACCTAATGTTGATTAGCTTTAGCATCCATCTTAAATTGGATTACTTCAAAAGTTAATTAGTTGTAGATGTATAGCTAATATTCACTTTCTATAGGTTTCATTAAAAGCTCCATGGGATATTTTGCTAAAAGAATACAAACAAAGTTACCTCAGGTGATGCCAAATTTTAAAACAAAGATGTTAAAGAAAGTGTTGCGCTCAATGTATGCGTTGAGGGTGATGCTCAGCTACAGCCATGCCAAGTTTTAGCTTATTATCTGTAAAATTGGCTTAATAATAATACCAACAACAATAATAATAATAATAATAATAATAATAATAATAATAAT